GTTAATTAACTGATTATCCAGTATCTGTTCTATAATTGCTCTTTATTCTTAATCCTTCTGAGCCTCAGCCATAAAGGAGGTGGCCCCAAGGGAGTATGAGTGGGGGAATGTTCACTTGGTCCCACGGAAGGGGCCGACAGCCGCAGGGACCACCAGGTGGCGCCGTCCTCACCTCCATTTTAGAGGGGAGGGAATCCCATCTTCGTTGGGTGCCAGCTACTCACTAGGGACAGCTATTTTTGCTTTAATATCTTTTAGTCTTCACAGAAACCCTGTGAGCCGGCTAGTAAAGTTCAAGGGCTCATCTAGCCAGTGAGTGGCCAGGCAGGTCTTGTATCCGTGTCAGTCTGACAAATGCTCAAACTTGCCCCCACCCCTGTGCTCTAAGATGGACACGAATGGGTGGAATGCTTGTAAAATACTGAAAAGGATGGAGAAGGAGAATATGGCGGTCCCTATTATTCAACTACCCAGAATTAATCACTACTGTTACAATCATTTTTGGGTATGTTTTAGGTTTTTTTTTTGTTGTTGTTGTTGTTTTAACTGTCAATGTGTTTAAAACAATTTTCTTCTCTATTTCATATTATTTACATTTATATATATCCTGAACATGGCAACTAGAACCGTAAATTATTTTTAGTAAAAGGGGAGAAACTATGAAACCAACCTAATTATGAAACTAAAGGTGTGAATTGTCTGAATTTGACTTCTGTTTTTTTTTTTTTTGAGACAGGGTCTCGCTGTGTCACCCAGGCTGGTGTACAGTGATGTGATCACAGTTCCCTGCAGCCTCAACCTCTCAGGCTCAAACAATCCTGCCACCTCAGACTCCTGAGTAGCTGGGACTACAGGTGTGTGCCACCCTGTCTGGCTAATTTTTAAAATTTTTTGTAGAGACAGGTGTCTCACTATATTGCTCAGGCTGGTGTTGAACTTTTGGGCTCAAGAAATCCTCTCGCTTTGGCCTCTCAAAGTGCTGCAATTATAGGTGTGATCCACTGTGCCCAGGCTGAATTTGATTTCTGAAATTGTGTGTGTGTGTATGTGTGTGTCTGGGTGTATAACAGAGTTGACCCAAAACAAAACACAACTTCAACTCGTTTGTTTTTTCATACATTTATATTTGAGTAAAAGATTCTGCCTTCATACCACTTGAGCTGGAAGAAGAAGCTGAAGCTCTGTCAGATATTTTGGGTGACAGCGCTTCTCACTGACAGGAGGCTCATGATAGTCTTGCAGAGAATGAATGACTTAGAATTTGAGAATTGTACAGAAGCCATCCACGTCACTCGACACAAGAATATAATTTACCTAAGAGAATTAAAGAACCGACAAAATACAAAAAAAGTTACATGGCAAAGAGACATATTTTTACTTGCTCTCTAATAGTGATTAATTGGCAACAACCTTTGTATCAAATACTAGAAGACGATTAAGTAAAGTAATGCAACTATTCATTATGATGCCATATTATGCAGCTGTTAAACGTGACCGCCACATGTAATGTTTCAACAGACCAAAGATGAACTGAATGCTAATCATAGTAACTTTGATTTCCTTAGTGCTTACTATTTGCTATATGCCCTATGTTATTTCATCTTCCTGCAAACCTCAGTGTCAGGTTTTAGTACTTTCCTCGTTTTAAAGTTAAAGAAACTTGGGCTCAGAGGTGCTCCACTGAGGACAAATACCTAATGCATGCGGGACTTAAAACCTAGGTGATGGGTTGATTGGTGCAGCAAACCACCACGGCACATGTATACCTAGGTAACAAACCTGCACATTCAGCACATGTATCACAGAACTCAAAGTGAAAAAAAAAAACAAACAAAAAAACTGGTATGTAGAAGAGAGTTAACACCTAGCATTGTGTGATCCTGAAGAAGCCCATGATTTCTCAGCTCACTTGTTGTATTGCTTAAGATTGCTAATATAGTGCAGTGCTACTGATCCCTATGCTGTGGATTCCATACGCTTGTTGCATGCCCAGATATGGCCTTTGGGATCAAGGCATTCTTTCCCCCACTTGCCAGGAATGTTGGCTGCTTGTGACTCACAGCTGAGCTCTTCTCTGGACTTGGCCTTTGTCGGAAAGGAACCTTCTCACTGGCGGTGATGGCCTTCCCTGGAGGTGATCTGACATCACTCACTGGTTGGTAAATGGGAGGGGGGCCTGCCTTCATCTGGGGCAACTCTGAGGGGCTACTGCATTTCAGTCCAATGTCTTCTTCTGGCCAGCTCTGCTTCCCTTACTCCCCACGGTGGATGTTGTCTGTGCCCAAGAACCTCCAACATGGAGATCTGACTCAGAGTCTGCTTTTCTGGGGAACTGGGCTGAAGAAATATATTCCAATAAGAACTCTAAAATTAGCCACCCAAGTGGAGAACAAGGGCTAGGCGTGAATGCACGAAAAGGAAAGCTGATTGTGCTAAGATGATGTGATTACAGGTGACTTACTGTCTTTTCAAACGTATTTCTTTAAATATTTTATACTTTTACAATTTAAAGGAGAGGGAGAAAGAGGGAGAGAAAAATGGCATAAAAGGCGTTGCATGAACATGTAGCAGGGAGGGCCAGCTGAGAACGTCTGCGCTGTCTCTTTTTCTTGCTTACTTTCTCTCACGCCCTCCTGTTCCTGGAGTCCCATGCCCCATTCCGTCTTCCCTACTTTGAATAGAAGAAATGTTTGGAAACCTGGAGCCCTTGTATTAGAAGTCATATATGGTTAGTAACTTCAGTTTTCTTGGTAGGGACATTTCTTGATGAGTTGCCCTAGACAAGGAGATAAAAGTTGGATGTAGAAACCCTATGAAAAATGGGACTCTGTGGAAATGAATAACCATGTCACCTTTATAAGATTTATCTCACAACTTGTCCCAGAGGCACCTCTCCTTCTGAAAGGAATGCTCTGGGCCATAGCCATAAAATAAGGCTTTTTATCTCACTGCCTCCAGTCCACTTCTAGAAACACATAAACATTCACGGTAGTATCCACAGGGGTTTCACATGCTGGCTCTGTGCAGTGTGCCCTGGGGATATAGAGATCCAAGGTTGCAATTTAGATGTTTTTAATGGAATATTATCTCCTCTAGTAGAGAGGCAACATATTGGTGAATCTGCTGTTTCTTCTTTCCTGATTAAATCAAAATCTCAGCAGAAAAAAATCAATCTCCTCCCCCCATTCCATTTATACCACCACTGCTTCAACTTCGATCTTATTACCTCTCACCTGGACGAGTGCAATAGCCTCCTAATAGTTCTCCCTGCTCTGGTCTCTCTCCCACCCCGCATTCAATTCTCCACACTGCTGCCAAGGGATCTCCCGAAAATGCTAATATGATATTGACAATCTCCTGCTTAAAGTCATTAATGGCTCTCCATTTATTCAATATATAAATGCCCAATCAAGGCATTGAAAAACCTTCATGATCCCTGCCTGCATTTTCAGTACCCTCACTAGTCACTTTTCTTATGCTGCAAATATTTCAACCACATTCACCTTCATTTCTTGAACAATGCATGGTCTCATATGCTTCCTAGCCTTTGCAGATGCAATTCATTCAGTCCAAGATGTCCTTCTGGAATGACTCATCTTTAACATCACTGCCTCTGAGAAACTTTATTTTTCCATTTAACTTTAAGTAACCTTGAACAATCTTCATGTATCAGTCAGGTTCTTAATGGCCGATGACAGAATCCACTTTAGTTAGCTTAAGCAAGAAGGAATCAATTGAGGAAATTAGAAAGCTTACCAAGTTGTTGGAAGGGCTTGGGAAATAAGTTTCAGATTCATTTTCCAGCAGCAGCAGCTCCCAGCATCATACCAGGGTCGGGTTCTCCTGGTAAGGAAGCAGCTTTTGCCTTTGGTCCCAAAACCGTTCTGGCCTCCTCTGCTGCCACCACTACCCATGGAGTGGGTGTCCCGCCCTCTTCCTTGTCCCCTCACATAACTTACTTACCAATCCAGGTCTTGTGTAGATGTGTCTGACTGGTAAAAACAAAGCCACATGCCTCCATTCTAACAGCAAGGGAGATCGGAAACTTTTTTTTTTTCCCTACATCGAGAAGGCAGAATTCAAAATGTGGAGATCTATCAACATGTCGTAAAGATGTTTAAAAGACATGAAGGAGCAGGAATGTCAGCCTTCCACTGTCTCTCTCTTTTTTAAAGACTACTATTGCATTTTGCTATTGTTCTCTTTATACACGTGTGCTTTCCCTGCTAAACCAAGGACTTGAGTTAAAGTGATGTCTCACTCGTTTCTGTGTCCACAGCCCTCTGGCACACGGCCTGACATATCAGTAATTCTTTGTTGATTGTTAAAGCAATAGAGCTATGAGAATTCCTTGCCTAAAACGTTTTGCATGGTCAATTATATAAGATGTTATATCTTGTCTCAAAAACTACTCCCCAGTCTGTATGCTCCGAAATGAATTAAACCAAATCTTAAATAACTCAAGCTGCAGGAAACAGGACTGTAAATACGATTTCAAATTTGGCCTCTAGAAGCAAGACTGCAGATTCAGCGCTCATATTCAGTACCATCTTATACATCATGTGCCATAATAAACAGAGTGGCCTTGCAGCAAATGAAGGAGTAAGACAAGGTTATCTCCAGTGCTCTCTGCTTCCTTTCTTAGCCCTATTCTCTCTTCTCACCTATGTCATGCTTTCTTGTCTGTAAAGGACTGTCACACCTTTATTTAATGCTCATAGCTATCCCATGTGTTTTTATTGTCTCCATGTAATATCCTAGGCCAGAGATTAGCAAACTATAGCCTTGGGGCCCAAACCAGCTGCAGTATGTGTTTGCAAATAAAGTTTTATTTGTGGTGTAGCCACACCCACTCATTTATGTATTGCCTATGGCTTCCTTGGGTTATAATGGCGGAGTTGTGTATTTGTTACGACCTGCAGAGCCTAAAATATTTATTACCTGTCCGTTTATTAGGTCCTGGCAGGAGAATCACCCGAACCCGAGAGGCGTAAGTCTCTGGAACACAGCTATCAGGTGAAATTGTCCATGCAAATCAGGACTTGAAACTAGGTCTTTTGATTATGAGTTCCACTCCTTAGATGATCATATTGGGAATCATCTAAAAACGTGTAGAACTATTTGAAAGTAGCTTTCTCTAACTGCAGTGTTCTTTTTTATCTCAGTTGATTCATACTGCTGACCAAGTGAATCAGACATGGAGTTTATAGCACTCTATATAATGAAAGGATGGAGGAGGGAAGGTACTGAGGTGGGAAATGTCAGTGAAATTCTTATTATAAATACCAGCACAAAAATATTGAGGTAAATGAAGAAACAGTTACAAATGGGGAAGGTGAGGAAGGAGTGGTTGGGGAAGAGTTACCTTTCAAGTTTATCCCTTTCATATGACATTTTCAAAAACACTCACACGTTACTTCAATAAAAACATCAAATTATTTTGAAAAAAAAAACCAAAAAGTAAAGTCAGAGAGAAAGTAAAAAGGAAGCCTGTCACTAGCATAGATTACACTGTAGTATAACTTGCTGTTTCTGGAGATATTTAAGGGTATACATCCTGAGAAATGGCTGCAAAGGCATACTACATACCCCATAATGTCATATCTACTTTAGAGAACGGTAAGTCACAAAGCAAAACAGTAGCCACACATCCCAAGTATGACTTCTATCATTTGACCAACAGTGATACAAAAGAGAATGCAAGTGCCGTACCCTCATTACCACAAATTATGCAGTCCGGTTTCCTGCAGATGTCAGCACACCCAACATGCAATGGATAAGCCTCACCCTGGGAAAGTCACCTTCATGATCATGGTATTTCCCCCACTAGGTAAGTATGAGTTTATAGTGGCCCGGCATCTCACCCTTGATTCCAAACATTTACACATAGGTTCATTCACTTTGCACAAGCTCTAGCCTGTCACTTGTGAAATAAAGACTTTTTCAAATTTTAAGAGCCAGACAATAACATTTTGGATACTAGAATATTTGTAAAATCCTAAAAAATGTATGTACAATGTGAACAAGACCAACCAGAAGGCTTTGTGTTCATCTACATACTCCAAGCTCCTCTTGGTGATGTCAAAATCTTTTGAGGAATCTGAGACATTTGTTGATGTGGCTAGGCAGAATACTGGCCCACAAAATGTTCAAGTCCTTATTCCTGGAACCTGTATATGTGTTACTTTACATTATGGCAATAGGGATTTTGCAGATATGATCAAGGATTTGAGATGAGGACAGTATTCTGGATTATCCAGATTACTGGGCTTACTGTAATCGCAGTGTCCTTGTGATAAGGACTCAGGAGGGCCAGATAAATAGATGTAAGGACAGAAGAGAAGGCAGAGGAAAGGTGCTAAATTGCTGGCGAGAAATGTAGGCAGCCTCTTGAAGCTGGAAAATCTATGTAACAATCACTCCAACCTTAGCAGCTTAAAACTGCAGCTGCTTTATTATGTACCTTGAATTTTGAAATTAGGAATTTGGGCAGAGCTCTTCTGGGCAATTTTTCTAGTCCATGTGGTATGCACAGAGGCCATTCAGTGGTCACTGTTTGGTGGACTGATTGATCTGTATGGTCAAAGATGGATTCATGCTTATATAACTGGTCTCTGGGTGGGGTTGGCTAGGAGGCTGGGCTTTGCTGGGTCTTTTGGCCAGAGCATCTGCATGTGGTTTCTTCAGTATAGCAGCCTCAGGTAGCCAAGACTTATTTACTTATTTATTTATTTTGGAGATGGAGTCTCTCTCTGTCTCCCGGGATGGAGTGCAGTGGCGCAGTCTCGACTCACTGCAACCTCCGCCTCTCGGGTTCGGGTGATTCTCCTGCCTCAGTCTCTCGCTACCATGCCTGGCTAATTTTTTGTATTTTTAATAGAGACAGGGTTTTACCATGTTGGCCAGGCTAGTCTCAAACTCTTGACGTTGAGTCATCCACCTTATAGCTGCTCAAGACTCTCAGAGAGAGTGATTCAAGACAAGAGAAAGTGGTAACTGCCAATTTCTCAAAGCCTGGAATTACTTTTGCCATATTTTAATGTTCAGTATATTCATAAACCCACCGAGATTCAACGGGAGGGGACATAGACACTACCTCTCCATGGGAGGCATGCCAAAGATATCGTGGCTGTCTTTAATTTGCCACAGAATTGGATTAGAAACAGTGTAAAATGTACCCACGTGTGTGTGAACAGTGTGCTACAGAAGCTCAGAGAAGACAGGGACCAACTCAGAGTCATAGTTCAAGAGTGAGCTAAGAGTTTGTCAGACATTTCAGAGGGTAAAACATTAAGTCATGGTGCCACAAAGGAGGTGGTCATATTTAGGAAATAAATTAGGTGTGTTACAGTCGGGGGGCATGGAGAAAGGAAGGGAGATGATGATGAGTGTGGCGTTGATACAGTGGTAGTATGATGAAGACAACGATAATGTAAACAGAATCACCCATATATTGTGCATGTTATTTCATTTATTCAGATAAGTTCTGGCTCTGTTGCCCAGGCTGGAGTACAGTGCTGGGATCATAGCTCACTGCAGCCTTGAACTCCTGGGCTCAAGTGATCCTCCCGAGTGCTAGGATTATAGGCGTGTGCCACCACATCCGGCTAATTTCTTTAATTTCCGTAGAGACAAGGCCTCGCTATGTTGCTCAGGCTGGCCTGAATCTCCTGGCTTCAAGTGATCCTCCCTCCTCTGCCTCACAAAGTGCTGGCATTACAGGTGTGAGTCACTATGCTTGGCCTTCAAATGTCTTTTAAATGCAGCAGAATAATCAGGTGACAACAGCAGTGGGTTGGAGAAAGGGCAGAATGGATTGGGACTAGGGGCCCAGGAGAAGAGGATTCTGACTGAAATAGAAGAGTCATGCTCTGAGGCAAAGCAGCAGAGAGAGACCAATATGCTATCTACCACAACCCTGCTACAGCCCTGTGAAAAAACCATAGCATAGGCCCTGAATTAAGGAGTACAGCTCTGCCAGTGGTACATTCTTTCCTGGGGATAGAGCTGCATTGGCCAGGAACAGCCAAGAGAAGACAATTTGGGTACCATTTAGGGAAAAGACTAAGGGTGAAGAGGCCCAGCATGGTGGCTCATGTCTGTAATCCCAGCTCTTTGGGAGGCTGAGGCAGGAAGATTACTTGAGGCCAGTAGTTCAAGACCACTTGGAAAATACAGCAAAACCCTGTCTCTACCAAAACAAAACGCACACACACACAAAAGATTAGCTGGGCTTGACGGCATATGCCTATTGTTCCAGCTGCTTGGGCTGCTGAGGTGGGAGGATCGCTTGAACCCACGAGTTTAAGGCTGTAGTGAGCTATGATTGCACCACTTCCCTCCAGCTTGGGCAATAGAGCCAGACCCAGTCTGCAAAAAACAAAAACAATAAAAAATTAAGAAGAAAAGTTGGCGAAGAGGATGGGTTGCAATGACATGGAGACTCCACTGGACTCTGGAGAAAGGATCACGGTTTGCACAAGTAGGTGAGGTTCTGAGCTGCAGGGAAATGAGGGTGGAGTGGGAAGAAATGACAGAAGACCCTGGGTCATTATGGTCCCTATTATGTTGAGGATGGTGGACATGGGATAAAAAGGAGGAGGGGCTACTTAATTCCTTGGTCCCTAGTCCCTCTCCCGGGAGGTGAAGCCTGAGGTTAGGATAGGGGAGAATGCGAGAGTTGCCCTCTGGGAACTCAACAAAGGCTCCAGAGAGAGTATGAGACAGACAAATCTTTCTAGGAATCAGACGGGAGAGTGGGTATAAATGAATTGCTGGTCTTTTTCTCAAAGTCATCCAACTTATCACGAGGACAATACTGTGAAAAGGACATCTTGGAAAACCCAAAACAACATTTTTTGGAAGATAAAATAAATCCGATTTGTTGAGATGTTTCTGTGTGTTTGGAGATAAATCACATTTTTGTATTTTATCAGCAGATTGGTGGGTAGTTAAACAGCTTAAAACTGGCAGCAAAATGGAAAGGGTTCCTCGTAGCTATGAATAATCCACTATTTTATGCGGGTTTCTGGACAGCTTAAATCAGGACTGTGCAGAGAAGCACAAAGTGATTATGTAAATTGGGGTGGCTTGTTGGGGAGTGTTTGCAGAGCGTGGGAGGGAGAGGTGGTGAGGGCAGAAGGGAGAGGGAGCAGCAGTAGGCATGGTGGGCAGTTTTCCCCTCAGGTAGGCACTGTCTTGGATGTGAGTGCTGGCATGTTGGGGGACACATAACCATGAGGTCAATGTGGTGCGTCTTACTGAAGCGTCCATTCAGTGTAACACAGTATTTAGGAATGCAGGCTCTAAGGTTGCACTGCTGTATGGTTCCCATCCTGGATCTACCACTTACAACACTGGGGGAATCTTGGTTCTCTCCTGTGTTAAATGGGGTTAATAATTTCACTTACCTCACATGATTACTGTGAGGATAAAGGAAGACGAATGTATGAAAAGTTCTTAGAACAGTTTCTGATACATAGCACACGTGGATGTCCCTATTATGGTTGTCTGTACTTTTTGTGTTTTATATTCTGTTCAGACATGGAGGTACAGGGGCCATGATAGTCCGACCCCCCTTTGCTTCCTCTGATGAGACAGAATTAAGGCATGAATTTTTCCCTCACTAAGTCACAATCATGCAGATACCAGCATGCCAGTGAAGAAGAAACACTGATTTCCTAAACAGAGAACCTGGGTCACTGAAATTACACTGGGGCTGCTCTGGTCTTCACTTTTCACTGAGATATGAAGGCTTGGTTCTAGTACTACAGTGTCACTGGTTCAGGAAGCCCAACTGGGAGTCACATAAGTGAGTTACAGCTTCAGTTCTGCCACAGCAGAGCTGGGTGCCCTTGGCCTAATTAGGAGCACAGTGGACAGAAAGAGTGGGATCAGGCAGCTTTCACTGGTATGTCGCTTTTCCAAACTTTTCCATAATTCCTTTTTTGCCTTTATCTTCTCCACTAGACAATATAAGTGACGATACTAATAACTTTTAATCAGCACTTATTCTATTCTAGTTATGTCTTTAGTCCTACTATCTTTTAGATCCCACAGGATCTGGCACATGGTAGGCACCTAATAAATGTTCAATAAATGATTAGATACAAGAATAGATGACCTCTATTTGAATCACACACTTGCTTAGTTTAGGGACTTGGAGCAAATTTTTTGGTCACTCATTTTAGTCTGCCCATTATGCTGGGCATACATTAGGCACCCAGTGGATTTGGTTTAGCTGAAATACCTTGCTTCACCATTGCTTGAGGGAACAATCTAGGTAGTGATATATGGTTATTCCCAGATCTTCATCCCTGGCTCCACATTTATGTATCTACCTCTGTTCAGTCTTTCTGCTTAGATGTGCGGTAGCACCTCAAGACTTATGTTCAGACATGACTTCCGGATGGCTACCTCTTGCAAATCTTCTCTCTGTCTCCTCCATCTCAGCAAATGGCATTACCATCTATCCGGTTGCTCAAAACAAAAATGTAGGAGTCATCATTCTGTTCCCCTCTCAGCTAACAGCCAATCCATCAGCAAATCCCCTAAGCTCTCTGAATCTGATTTCTCCTCACCCTCTCCACTATCTCAACCCTTGTCCAAGCTACCCTCATTTCTTACCTGAACTATTGTGGTTATCTCCTAAATAGCCTCTGTGGTTTTACTCTTTTATACTCATCCCTTTTCTACTCTTAAGAATCCTAACTACCCCCAGCTCCTTCCAGGAAAACGATGGGTAGCATGGAATGATGACCTACTCAGCTGGAAGACTGCGGAAAAGAAAAGGAGGGATGTGAGGTGTGTGTGTGTGTGTATACACGTGTG